CCCCACCTGACCCTCCCGCCGGGCGACACGTACATTTAAGTAATCTTGCCTCTGGTTCTTTTTGATTTTCTCAAGGATGGCCAGGTTCTCCTTGCCGATGCCGTCGTCCTCCGCCTTCTTCCCTTCTGCCGGCTCCTCCTCCTTCATCTCGTAGTGATCCAGCTCCTCCGTGTCCTTGCGAGGGCGAAAAGAGAAAACAGCCACCTTGTGAGGGTTCTGGCCTCAGGACAAAGACAGCCTCTCCCACCCAATGCTCCACCAGGACAGCGCCGCTCATCTGGGAAAGGCCGTCTGCAGGCGCCAACCTGCAAGCGGGCAAAATCGATGACTGCCTGTACACGTGCCTTCACTGTGCTGGCCCCCATCTCGTGGAACGGCCTGCCCGAGGAGGTCAGGAACAGTGTTCCCTCTAAGCCGAGTTACTGTGAGCTGGCACACAGTTGTTTAGCCTCCAGCTCACACATTTTTGCCTTCGCTCAGGAAGGAAGGCTCCAGAGCAGACTGATCTATGCAGCAGCCAGATCGCTCCCTCACAACTTTAATGCCAGTCGCTCACCAAGTAGATTTTTTTACTCACAAGACCCCACAGCTTAGAGGGAACAAGGAAGGCTCCCCCTCTCCTGGCTTATGCTGTGATGGCCACAGGAATAAAGAGCATGAAAAAAAGGATTAGATAGATTCATAGAGGATAAGTCGTTCAATGGCTACTGGCCACGGCAACTGAGGGGAACCTCCAAGCTCTTCTGATGTTCTTATGAGGGAAAGGCCTCAGCCTCTCTGCCCTGTCGTTGGCCCTCCAGAGGAACTGGTTGAGGCCACTGTGTGAGACAGGATGCTGGACCAGATGGACCCTCACTGGTCTGATCCAGCAGGGCTCTTCTGATGTTCTTATGAGGGGAAGGCCTCGGCCTCTCTGCCCTGTTGCTGGCCCTCCAGAGGAATTGGCTGAGGCCCCTGTGTGAGGCAGGAGGCTGGACCAGATGGACCCTCACTGGTCTGACCCAGCAGGGGCTCTTCTTACGTTCTTATGAGGGGAAGGCCTCGGCCTCTTTACCCTGCTGTTGGCCCTCCAGAGGAACTGGTTGAAGCCACTGTGTGAGACGGGATGCTGGACTAGATGGTCTGATCCAGCAGGGCTCTTCTTCTGATCCTCACTGGTCTGATCCAGCAGGGCTCTTCTGATGTTCTTGTGAGGGGAAGGCCTCGGCCTCTCTGCCCTGTTGGTGGCCCTCCAGAGGAACTGGTTGAGGCCCTTGTGTGAGACGGGATGCTGGACTAGATGGACCCTTACTGGTCTGATCCAGCAGGACTCTCCTGATTTTCTTTTACTTCAAGACAGCTTTTCTACACAGGCAACAGAGTGGCCCTGTACCGAACGATTCACAAAGTTACTTGGATAAATCATTAGAGACTGTGGGCTATACTACTGAGTTTCGCTTGCTGAAACTAGGATCCCACTGTGTAATTTTCGCATCATTTCATGTGTCATGGTAATACTTCTGTGCTGTTTTTAGGTGTCTTAAAAAAGCACAAGCCCCCCCCCCCCAATACCTCTGGCATCTCCTCATCTTCTTCTTCAGAGGATACCTCTTCCTGGGTGCTCTATAAAACAGCAGAAGACAGAAAGAGGTCAAAACTCAGAGCCGCCCAAGATAGCACTTCTGTTGTCCTTCATGCAAGGTTGGCAGGTGCTCACCTGGAGACACTGCCCATCTCTTTAAGGACCCCAAAACAGCAAAAGAGACACCTGTAGAAAATTGGCTTCTCCTGTTCTACTGCTTCCTTTCCCCACCCTTTCCCAAGATCATCCAGTGCCCCCGCTTGGCACTGTATCTTAATCCTTGCCAACCAGAGTTCTTAGCCAGCAGGTGGCACCCAGAGAAACTCTGAAGGGCAGGTGTGCTGCCATGCCAACAGCATGGTATCAATTCTGTATCGAACTTGGAAGTGAGGTCATGTCTCTCTAGGATTCGGTGGAGACTCTATGGTTTTACCAGAGATTCCCTACTGAATCCTAGAGCGGTGTGATGTCACTTCTGGGTTCACACCAGAAATGACATCACACCGTTGATGCGACAGCGATTTTCCTCTTATTTCCCACATACACACACACATGCCTGTGGAGTGGTGGCGTATGTCTGCCGGCAGAAAGTCTTCCACTGTTAGTCGGAGACTTACCAATTCTACTGCCTACACGTAGGGCGACAGGTCTTGCCCAGCCTGACCATGTGAGATTGTTCAGGGAGGGGGCCGTGGCTCAGTAGCAGAGCATCCGCTTAGCGTGCAGAAGGTACCAGGTTCAATTCCCGGTGTCTCCGGTTAACAACCCTGGCAGTAGGTGATGTGAAAGATCTCTGCCCAAGACCCTGGAGAGCCGCTGCCAGTCTGAGCGGACGAGACTGACACTGATGGACTGAGGGTCCAATTCAGTATAAGGCAGCTTCGTGGCTAGATGGCCATCGGACAGCAATGCTGATTCCGTGAACTTGGGCAGATCACAGAACAAAGCCAGAGCCCAGTGGGGCACCTTTAAGACCGACAAAGGTTTATTCAAGGTGTGAGCTTATGTCGGTCTTAATGGTCCCACTGGACTCTGACTTTGTTTGATTGCTTCCCACCAACACAGCTGTCCACCTTGATCTATCTTTAGGCAGATCGTGAGAGGGAGGGCAGGAAGGGCTGACTCAGGGCTTAGTTCTCAGTGTCCCTTCCTTACATGCCCAGGTCGGGATGCACTTTTTCTCCAGGCCAGTTTGGCCGGGGACCCTGGAGGTTTTTTGTCAGCTTCTGGGCTTTGAGCAGGGGTCACTGGGGGTGGGAAGATACTTCCACTGCACTGAGTTTCCTGCACTGAGCAGGGGGTTAGACGAGATGACCCTGGAGGTTCCTTCCAACTCTATGATTCTATGAGCATTCATGGCTAACTAGATATTGCGAAGGCTGAACCTGGGACCTCTTGCGTACAAAGTAGATGACTCTCCATGGAGCTGCGCTTTTAACTCCAGCGTGGGGAGAGCGAGGTCCGTGCACTTCACATTAAATCAATCCGGAAGGTGTGGCTCATCCCCTGGGACCAGGAGGAAACCCGCTGAGAGATGAGCATCCCCACTTCGTTCCCCAAGCAGGCCTGCAAAGCGCCACTAGCCAGAGGAAGATAAGGAATTGCCCCTTGCGGAGAAGCCCGCCGCAAGCCGCTTCTGCCGCGAGTGTGAAGAGTGCTTCTCCTTCACACTGCCCTTTCACCTGACGGAAAGTCAGGTCAGGACGGCCAAAAGAAAAGATTGCGCCACACTGGGAATAATTAACTTATGGGTGTGGCAAGGGCTACTTGCTCAGATGGCTTTACGAGGGGATTAGAGAGATCTGCAGAGGAGGGCGCACCACCAGCTCTCGGCCACACTGGCAGAATGGAGCCTCCATGTTCAGGGGTGGAGTACCTCTGCGTGGCAAAACGCGAGGGAGCCGTAGCAGCGGGGGAAGAGGCGACAACAATCTATGTGCCTCTGCTATAGACCGTCCACAGAAATGTGAAGGCCCAAAAACACAAGCAATGGCAAAGTAATTAAAAATAAACTTTGTCCACTCCTTGGAGACTTTTTTTGCCCAATAGCAAAACTGGAAAATTTTGGAGAGCCCCGAAAATCACTCCTTATGAAATACTTCCTCTTTTGGTTCTATTTTCTATTTTTTTTAAGAGGCTGTCACTTTTCAAATTAATGTAAGATGTAGTCAAGACTTTTTAAAGTGGAAAAGCAAAGTATGATTATAAAAAAATAAACACTACAAATACGTCATAGCCAGTCAAAAGGCTTAATGCAAACTCATGCAAAGCCATTTGCCTGTTCGCCTTGGGCGAGTGCAGATTGCCTCCAGACAACCAGATAAGGATAAGCAGACGTTTCTGTAAACTGGAAGAGAATTTTATTTTTGGTGGGCTAGCAACTTTCATGAATTTATCTTTTAGGAAGACTCAGTACAAGAAAATAATTACTAATTTTTTTCTTGAAGCTGAAAGAATATCTTACAGATCTAAGAATTACCACCATCTTCAAAGTAACGTAATAAGGGATCTACAAATGAGACAAATCAATCAAATATACTCAAATAATGGCTTTTTAGAAGAATGAATTTCTCAAAATGGCAATAAAAAACATACATACAAACAGAGAGGGCAAAAGGCCCTGGGAAAAGCTGGTGGTTTTTTCTCTCTTTTACAATGGAAAAAGATAGAAAATTTGGAGGAGCACAGGGAAAAACCCCAACTATGAAACATTTTCTCTCTTAGGATAAAAGACTTCTTAAAGCAAGACTTTGTACACTCAAAATATAGAGCATGAAAAAGCCAGAGGAATTTCTTAATTTGGGAAATTCTGGAGAGCTTTGAATGCCCTCTTTCTTCCCTCTAAGCTATCAAAAACTAAAGATTTGCATGCTGTTGTAGCGCAGTAGCAGCCGTTTGTAATTCTTCCTCAAGTATTAGGTATTCTTGCAACTTTTCCTAATAGTAAAGATATTTATACTTTTAATTTCCGCAAACATGCCAAACAGTACAATTTCACAAGCTAAGTTATAAGTTTTATATTGTTCAATTAGCAAAAGAAGTTTAGGTTTGACAAGAAAGCAAGTACTGCAGTTTGGTGTAGCAGTTAAGAGCGCGGACTCTAATCTGGGGAAGCGGGTTTGATTCCCCCACTCCTCCACATGCAGCTGCTGGTGTGACCTTGGGTCAGTCACAAGTTCTCTCAAGGGCAGTCCTCAAGAGCTCTCTCAGCCTCACCTCTCTCACAGGGTGTCTGTTGTGGGGAGGGGAAGAGAAAGGAGACTGTAAGCCACTCAGAGACTCCGAGCGAAGGGTGGGGTATAAATCCAATCTCTTCTTCTACATTTCAATTTTTCTCGGGGGGGGGGGGAGAAGGGGGGTTTCTTTCCCCCCCTGTGGCTTCAGAATTTCCAGAAATCTAACCTGGACGGCCCAGGCTAGCCTGATCTTGTCCGATCTCAGAAGCTAAGCAGGGTTGGGCCTGGTTAGTATTTGGATGGGAGACCACCAAGGAAGTCTATGGTTGCTATGCAAAGGCAGGCAACGGCAAACCACCTCTGTTCATCTGTCCCTGACCTGGGTGGCCCAGGCTAGCCTGATCTTGTCCGATCTCAGAAGCTAAGCAGGGTTGGGCCTGGTTAGTATTTGGATGGGAGACCACCAAGGAAGTTCGAGGTCGCTACGCGGAGGCCAGCAACGGCAAACCACCTGTCTGTCTCTTGCCCTGAAAGCCCTACAGGGTCACTTGACGGCACTTTACACATAGACAAAATATGAAAAATACAGGCATGATCCGGGGCTCTGAAGTCCAAGTGACTTCAATGGAAGATAACTGAGCATGTGGCCGCAATCAGTGCTATCCTAAGAACACTTTCATCAGAGTAAGCCTCACTGAAATAGCATGAGGCTTGCTCCTGAGTAGACCTACCGGGGCTTGTTCCCTACGCCTCTCGGGTATTAACCAATGGCTTCAAAGTTTTTACTGCTTGGCAAATCACATCCCAAGTTAGCGAACGCTTGGTGCCAAACGGAACAATCAGATTCTAGTCTGCTACAATCATTACTTAGAACTCAACATGATACAATATTCAAGGTATCTTAGCTCTGAGACTAGAAGAAGAAGAAGAGGAGATTGGATTGCTACCCCGCCCTTCACTTGGAGTCTCAGAGCGGCTTACAAACTCCTTTCCCTTCCTCTCCCCAGGACAGACACCCTGTGAGGTGGGTGGGGCTGAGAAAGCTCTTTTGAGGACTGCCCTTGAGAGAACAGCTCTGAGAGAACTTGTGACTGACCCAAGGTCACTCGAGTAGCTGCATGTGGAGGAGTGGGGAATCAAACCTGGTTCTCCCAGATTAGAGTCCACGCTCCTAACCACTACACCAAACTAGCTGTAGAACTCCAAGTATAAGCCCCAAAAGCAAAACACTCTAAAACTAAACACTTTAAACTCCCCCAGGCAATGGGCGTCATGTACCTTCAGAAAAACCACCCGGAGTGTGTACTTGTATGGACTCCCAACATTTGTTGACAGGGGGAGTGGCGGACTCTCTAATCTGTCTTTACAATCACCCAGAATGCAGTTAAGAAAGCAAGCTTCCACAGACAATACTATTCTTATCTCAGACAATATTTGAGAGGGGATACGCTAAGGGACGTAAGGGACTTTGGACGACCTCTGATGCATTTCTGGTGGACCACCTAGTAGTGGGTGCGGAGACCAAAGAATGCTGAAGGAAGCTGGACCTTGGTCAGATCCTCCAAGGCTCTTCTGTACATTCTTTAGCAGCAGCTGCACAGTCAGGATTTATCCATCCATTTTTTTCCGGGCTTTCCACTACAGAGCTCAGGACAACGTGTGGGATTATTAGCCACAAGGTATAGAGGGAATACTGGAGCTGCGGTGGCTCAAGTGGTTAAGACGCTGAACTGCAGGCTGTGGAAGGTCAGTAGTTTAGCAGTTCGAGACCCGGGTTGCCACATGACGGAGTGAGCTCCCGTCTCTAGTTCCAGCTCCTGCCAACCTAGCAGTTCGAAAGCAAGAAATTGCAAGTAGATAAATAGGTACCACTTCGGTGGGAAGGTAACAGCGTTCCGTCCGCCTTGGTGTTTAGTCATGCCGGCCACATGACCACGGAAACGTCTTCAGACAGCACTGGCTCTTTGGCTTTGAAACGGAGATGAGCACCGCAACCCTAGAGTCGGACTCGACTGGCTTTCGAGCAAGGGAACCTTTACCTTTACTATAGAGGGAACACTCTGTCTAGGGCAGTGATGCTCTGTCTTCTCGGTGCTTGGGGGGCAAGAGTGGGAGGGCTTCCAGAGGTCTGGCCTCGCTGGTGGACCTCCTGATGGCACCTGGGTGGACCTCCTGTGGCATATGCTAATGAGTTATGCTAATGAGTTCCCCTAGCTCTTTTTCTACGAAACGACCCCTGGAAAGGGGGATGTCTGCCTGCCTGCCCTTCCCTTCCCCAGCCAACCTGATGCCTGGGCTTGTTACTCCCAGAACGCCGCTCAGGGTCGTTCTCCCTCGAAATGACCCCTGCAGAGGCCCATGAGTGACTCTTAGTCACAAGGTACAGATGGAACACTCTGTTGGGGGCAGATGCTCTGTCTTCTTGGTGCTTGGGGGGGGGGGGGCAACAGGGGGGGGGCTTTTAATGTCCTGGCCCCACTGGTGGACCTCCTGATGGCACCTGGTATTTCTGGCCACTGTGTGACCCAGAGTTTTGGATTGGATGGGCCATTGGCCTGATCCAACATGGCTCCTGTTATGTTCTTATGTCTGAGGCAGTGGTGCTCTGTATTCTTGGTGCTTCAGGAGGGCCACAGTGGGAGGGCTTCTGGAGTTCTGGCCCCGCTGTGGATCTCCTGATGGCCCCTGGGTTTTGGCCACTGTGTGACCCAGAGTGTTGAACTGGATGGGCCACTGGCCTGATCCAACACGGCTTCTCTTATGTTCCTACAACAACCACAAGCCAAGAGCAAGTCAAGGTTGCCACCAAGTGACCAAGCATAGAAGCCTCTGTTAACTAGCTAATGTACTGGTTGTTGCTGTTTTAAACTATCAAGTCCCAAAAGATTTAGGCAGGCATAAACAAGCTGGCAGACTAATAACCATGCTTGTAGGCTAATTGCGCTAACTGCAAGACTGCCAGGAAAGGTTCACGTGGAGACCAAGTGTCGGACTGCGAGAGTCATTTTGCAATGGACTGAAGTGAATTCTACGTTTGGGGCGGGGTTTAGATTTGCTGGATGGCCAACACTGGAAAGAGGCCAGCACAAGACTAGGATCTGGAAGACCCGGGTGCAGAATTCTCACTCTGCTTTGAAGTTCACTGTCTCTCAGCCTGAGCTACTCTACAAGGCTGTTGTGAGGATGAAATGGAGAAGAGGAAAAGCCCGCACGCTGCTCTGAGTTCCCTAGTGCAAGACAGGCAGATTCTGTGCCCCGTGCCCCCCCCCCCCCCGTTCCTCTTTGGAACCGAAAACACGCTGGGATGATCATACTTCTTTTTTCATCCTTTTCAACAAAGGCCTCTGGACACTACCTACCCACTGGGCAGAGCCCAGCTTCTTTATTATTAGAATGCCCTGGAGAATATCCTGCTTTGTGGCAAAGAATCCAAGTCATACAGGGAAAGGCTGAAAGAGTTGGGTATGTTTAGCCTGGGGAAGAGAAGGCTCAGAGGGGACATGATGGCCGTCTTCAAGTATTTGAAGGGCTGTCATGTAGAAGATGGAGCAGATCTATTCCCTCTTGCTCCGTATTGCAAGACTAGATCTAATGGGTGGAGATTACAAGGGAGTCGATACCAGCTAAATATCAGGAGAAACTTCCTAACTGTAAGAGTGGTTGAGCAGTGGAACAGACGGCCTCGGGAGGTGGTGGATGCTCCTTCGCTGGACGTTTTCAAGCGGGTATATTGTAGAGCTACCTTTCGGCTCTGCTCCTGCAGAGTGCAGGGGGTTGGACTAGATGACCAGCAAGGTCCCTTCCAACTCTAACATTCTACAATTCTATGAAATCTGCAAGCCCAAAAGCTCCAGTACGGACACCAACTCAAGCAGCATTCACTGCAGCAGGACTCCTACTTGGTGCAGAAGGGTAAGGGGAGTCCCTGGGGAGGCTTACCTGCTCAGCGGGCAGAGGCTGGTCTAGCATCTCCACGTCCGGATGCTGCGGGAGGTTGTAGAGCTTGCAGAGGTCGGAAATGATCCGCTTCAGGTGTTGCAAGAGCTTTGGCGAGGAGAAAGAGACAAGAAGAAAGGTTAGTGGAAGGCAAACAGCCACGCTTACCCAGCCAAAACAATCCACTCTGTATCGACGTAACAAAAATGAGAAGCGTGCATATGGGATGGGGGGTACATTTCTGGGGTAGCAGTGTGCGTGAACAAGATCTTGGGGTACAGGTGGACCATAAACTAAGTATTAGCAGTCAGTGTGATACAGCAGCAAAAAAGGCTAATGCAGTCTTGGGGTGCATCAACAGAGGCATAACATCCAAATCATAAGATATCATAGTCTTGTCAGGCAGCACCTGGAGTATTGTGTGCAGTTCTGGAGGCTGCACTTCAAAAAGGGTGTGGACAGAATAGAGTGGGTGCAGAGGAGAGCGATGAGGATGATCGGGGGCCTGGAGACCTGGACGGAGAGGCTGAGGGACTTTGGAATGTTCAGTCTGGAGAAGAGGAGGTTGAGGGGGGACAGGATGGCTCTCTTGGAGTATTGGAAGGGCTGTCCCTTAGGGGAGGGCAGGGAGCTGTTCCTGTTGGCAGCAGAGGATGGGACTCACAACGATGGGTTTAAATTATGGGAAGAAAAGTACCACCTGAATATTAGGATTTTTTTTTTTTTACAGTAAGAGTAGTTCAACAGTGGAACTGGCTGCCTAGGGAGGCAGTGAGTTCCACCTCACTGGCTGTCTTCAAGCAGCAGCTGGATGAACACTTGTCAGGGATGCTTTAGACCAGGGGTCCTCAAACTACGGCCCGGGGGCCACATGCGGCCCGCCGAAAACATTTATCCGGCCCGCCAGGTGTTTTTGCCACTGTCCTGTCCATATGCTGCCCAGCACAAGGGGCCCTGGCGAGCGGTAGGGGCACCATTCCCCTCGGCGCGGCGCCGCTTCCACTTTCCAGGGCTGCAAAAGTTTGCTTTTTTCTCCAACTGCTGGGGACCTGCCATAGGGCCAGGAGCGCCGACAGCCAGGCCGGCACGCCCGCCCTCCCTTCCCAGGGTTTGGGCGAAGGTTCCCAGTGCCAGACAAAGGTTCTGCCCCTTTCCCCTGAAACTGTCCACGGGCTAAGGAAGTGAGACGCGAGGCTCTGCCGGCGGCAACTCCAGGCTGCGCCGCTGGCTTGGGAGAAAGTCCGTCACTTCCCCGGAATACAGGCCCGGGATCGGGGTGTCAGACCACCACCACCACCCGCACTTCCATGCCACATCCACACAATCACGCCCTGCCTGGAATAAATCCCCCGACATGGGTTTCCTGCGCATAGACCGGCCATGTGTGCATTGCAACCATGTGTGAATGAGATTCGGGAGGGTAACAAATCCCGGCAGAGTTCGGCACCTCCTAATCTGGGCTCCCTCCAGAATATCCTCCTCCGTCTTCTGCTGCCGTCTGCCGCACAGCCATGCTTTTGGGGCAAAAGCCCTGGTCAGCAACTAGGAGGCCACTGTGGGAAGGGAGCGCCAGCCGCAGAGGGCCAGCGTCTCACCCTCTCTCCGCTGCCCCCCACGCCATGAGACCTGCCAGCAAGACTCGTAGCCTTGGCCTGCCTCTGTAGCCACAAAGGGGAATTTTAGCAAGGAAAGGGGGGGGCACTTTGTGCTTCTTTGCCAGCGCTTCCTCCCGTCTTTTCTTGGGAACTTTCCCCGAGTCCCTTTTCCAAGAAGGAGCTGTTCTCCCCTCCCCGGGATATTATCCAGCAAGCCCGTCCCGTGCCAAGGATTCCCCAGGGGGAAGGCCCCCCCCACGCCCAGTCCGCCGTTTCCAGCTGACCCACTCCCCTCTTTTGCAAGCCACAAAGTAGCGCTTGCAGAGGGGGAATTTTTGTTTTGTGTGCGCTTCATCTTCATGAACAGGACATACAGCTTTTCCGTAACCCATTTTCTATTGACATTGAAAATGTGGATGCAATTTACCAAATGGAACTGGCTGAACTGCAGAATTGTGACTTTCTGAAAGAAGCATTCAAGTCAAGCAGCCTTTCTAATTTCTATGCATTTTAATCTCAGGAACCATGCACTCAAAATGGCAACCATCTTTGGAAGCACTTATGTCTGTGAACAGACTTTTTCCAATATGAAACATCTGAAATCTCCAACCAGATCTAGACTAACTGGTGCACACTTGCATCACTTGTTACGACTAGCAGTGACAAATATGGAACCGGACATTGACCATCTCATTAGCCAAAAGCAGGCCCATAGTTCCCATTGAAATACTGGTAAATTTGTTGATTTAACTTTACTTGTTCTTCATTTTAAATATTGTATTTGTTCCCGTTTTGTTTTTTTAAGATATGTGCAGTGTGCATAGGAATTTGTTCATAGGGTTTTTTTAAAACTATAGTCCGGCCCTCCAACGGTCTGAGGGACAGTGAACTGGCCCCCTGTTTAAAAAGTTTGAGGACCCCTGCTTTAGACAGATCCTGCACTGAGCAGGGGGTGGGACTAGATGGCCTCTGTCGCTCCTTCCAGCTCCGTGATTTACTCCGTCTACAGCTAGATCTTTTCTCCAGGCCTCACCAGTGTGTTTCCTTTTTTCACGTCGGCCAGCCTCTCTAGGATCGCCGCTAAGTTGGGATCGTCCGATTCCACAGACCATATTGGAGGAACAGCCGGATAAGACTCCTGGAAGAGGGGGAAATGGAGAGATCATGTCTCATGTTGGGATAGGGTCTTTCCCTCTGCTCCTGTCTCCCCACCATCACAACAAGAGTGCCATCAGGGTATGAAGCAGTACCCCAAAACATCTGCCTGTTCCCCTGTTGAAGGCGCCTGCATCCCTGACGTAGCAAAACAAATTAAGAGATGCAGGTTTTCCAAAAGAAGCTGGCTAGGCACACTGGGAAAGAAGATGATAAAAATGATGGACCGCTGGTCTGATTCAGCAGGGCTCTTCCTACACTCTTAACGTCCCAACTAAGAGCTGCAGACAGAACCCGAATCCAGATCTCTCTCACCCTCTTCCCTTTTGTTATTTGCATTTTGTGAGATGGAACGGCACACGTGATTCCCATTCACCTCATCTTCACAAGAACCCTGCGAGGGAAAAGAGCAGGAGCCCAGGAGCACATTAAAGACTAACAAAATATGTGGCAGGGCAGGAGCTTTCATGAGTCGCTGCTCACTTCTTCAGATACACAAGTTCAGATACACGAGTTTCATGAAAGCTCCGACCCTGCTACTGGATTCTTGCTCTTTTCTACTGCCACAGGCAGACTAACACAGCTACCCATCTTGACCTTTGAGGGAAGTAGGGTTGACAATAAGTGACTGGCTCAAGGGTGTCCAGGGCTGTGTGGAGGATTCGAACTTGGGTCTGTCCCTCCTGATCTGGGAGCTCAGGATTTGAGCCTGAGCACTCCCTCCAAACCTGCGCCTGACACTCCACACCCACTATACCACCTGGCTTTCCCCCTGGCAATAAAGATGAATATGCTTTTGTTTAAAAGAAGCAGGGATCCCACCCCTTCCTTGAAGCCCCACCTCCCTTTGCAGGCCCCGCCCCTTGTCCAGCCTTGCCAAGGGTCTCCCCCTCCCCCTAAGAGGCCCCGCCCACCCGCCTCAGGCCCCGCCCACAGTCCCGCGCTCGCCCCGCCCCGCCCTTCGGAGGGACCCCCTCCCCCCCTCCGCCGCCGGCCCCCTCCCGGTAGCTCACCGTGATGTTGCCATGGATACGGACGGGCCCGCCGCCGGCCGGGCCGGGCAGGAACTCGCAGCCCAGCTCGTCCGGGCAGGCGCGGGCGATGCGGAAGCGCTCGTGCCCGCGGTGGAAGATGGACTCGAGCAGCCGCAGCTCCCGCCTCAGCAGCGCGCGCCCCGGCCCCGCCCCCAGCACGGCGCCAGGCCCCGCCCCGCCCGGCCCCGCGCGCTGCATCTTCCCATCGAGCGGCCCCGCGGCCCACGGGCCCCCCGCTTCCCCCCACACCGCACCAAGATGGCGGCCGGGAAGGGCCCGCAGACGGAAATGACGTCGCATCTGTTCCCCGCCTGCCTCCTCGACTGAAAGCATCGCGCCAGGGACCGCCTACCCTCCAGGAAGTGACGTTTTTCTCTATCCCGTCAACGGAGGAGGAGGCGGAGGCTGGAGGGCATCAATGACGAAGTGGGCGGGGAAGGGTCGGAAAGCGCATGCGCGCCGTTGCCGGAAATGACTTTGAGAGACGGGACTCGAGAGGGGCGCTTCGTCTCTCCCTGTAGTGGGCGGAGGCAACCGGAAAGGTCAGGCCACCATTATTGGCTATTGTTCTTCGTGACGTCTAAACATCAGTAGCCAATTGCACGGCCAGCGTGTCGCCCCACCTCCGTCTCTTCCTGGCCAATCGCCATCCTCAGTTCTTGCCTTTAAACCAATGAGCTTTTGTCGGTGGTGTTGGTTAGAATGTTGGGACGGCCCAGAGATATGTAACCCCGCCCACGCATTGGTGACGTCACGCTAAGGAGGGAATACCCCGGGAATGCCAGAAAATCCTTTTTGCTTCGTCATGCTAAAGGCGCATTTACGCGGGAGGGAGCGGGGAGGAGCAGGTAGACTGCCTCTGGACAAGGGGGTTCCATGTGATCTATCATAGGTGCCCTGCTGCCCGAGGCCGAAAGGCCCCTAATCTAGCAGTGCCTAAGCATGTCCCAAACATAACAGCTCACCAGATGAATTCAGGTGATGAGCCGTGTTGGTCTGAAGCAATCGGACAAAATTTGAGTGCAGTGGCACCTTTAATACCAACGAAGTTTAATTCTGGGTATGAGCTTGCCTGGGCTATCCAGGTCAGAACATAAGAACATAAGAGAAGCCAGTGTTGGATCAGGTCAAATGCCCATCTAGTCCAACACTCTGTCACACAGTGGCCAAAAATACTAGGTGCCATCAGGAGGTCCATCAGTGTGGCCCAGGACACTAGAAGCCCTCCCACTGTTGCCCCCCACCCCCAGCACCAAGAATACAGGGCATCCCTTGCCCCAGACGGAGAGTTCCTATTTATACCTTGTGGCTAATAGCCACTGATGGACCTCTGCTCCATATGTTTATCCAGTTCCCTTTTGAAGCTGTCCATGCTTGTAGTCGCCACCTCCTCCTGTGGCAGTGAATTCCATGTGTTAATCCCTCTTTGGGTGAAGAAGGACTTCCTTTTATCTGTTCGAACCTGACCGCTCAGCAATTTCATGCAATGCCCACGAGTTCTTGTGTTGTGAGAAAGGGAGAAAAGTACTTCTTTCTCGACCTGCTCTATCCCATGCATAATCTTATAAACCTCAATCATGTCACCCCTCAGCCGTCGTTTCTTCAAGCTAAAGAGCCCCAAGCTCTTTAACTTTGATTCATAGGGAAAGTGTTCCAACCCTTTTATTATTCTAGTTGCCCTTCCAACCCTTTTATCATTCTAGTTCCAACCCTTTTATCATTCTAGTTGCCCCTTTCTGCACTTTTTCCAATGCCAGTGGCACCTTTTATATCAACAAAATTTAATTTTGGGTATCAGCTTTTGTGTGCATGCACGATGTCTCTGAGTAAGTGTGCATGCTCACGAAAGCTTATACCCAGTGTAGTGTATTCAAAGCTGCCTTGAATGCATGACATATAGTGAAACATCTAACTGAACTGTAATGTTAAGCTTCGTCCTGGGCTAGGTTCCAAATCCATCCAATAGTATTGCTAGCCCAGGAAGTAACAAGCCAAACACTTCAAGCAAGCTACCTGAGCGGGAACTAATGTGATTGGACCTTATCTCCGCAACCTCATAGGTTAATATTTGTACAGTGGGTGCGGCTACATTAGCCAGGAATGTTTAAAATCAGGACAGCTGCAATGTAAAGGCTGTTCTGGCTATCAGATATTGATCCGTGTTGGAGTTGTGTTCGAGTTGAAGAATAAAGTTGTGTTCTTGCTGAATCACTCTCCGACTGCTTTGTTAAGCGAGTGACTTAACACCTAGAATTAAACTTTCTTGGCCTTAAAGGTGCCGCTGGACTCAAACTTGGTTCAGCTCACAAGATGCACCATGCAAGAGTAGATGCCACCCAATTCAGCGTTTTGCCCGCAGCCAGCCAGACCCTTCCAGCCAGGCCCGTAGCTACAATGGGCATCTTGGAGCCCGCCCCCCGATTTACTACCAAGTTTAAAAAATCCTGGCTACGGGTCTGCTTCCAGGAGACTCACAAAGAGGAGGCAAAGGGGGCAGCCATCCAGGAATAGGCTGCCTCTGTACAAGATTTCATTTCATTCAAAATGGTAAGGATTCATTGTGTGTTTATTCAAAATCCAGTTGCAACTTTTTCATTTGATAGATTCCGCAGCACTGATGGGCTTGATCCAGTGACACCACCGCTTCAAAGTCATTTAGCAAGAATCTTAGCACATTTAGTAACGATTTCAGTGTTCATTCTTAATGCGATGGATGGGCCTGATGAAGTTACGGCAGTTTCCCAAACGTCTGGTTTTAAAGACACTCAGCGAGAGTCTTAGTAATCTGGAGTCCATTTCTTTGCTTGGAGAAAAGTTGGCTAACTACAGTAAAACCATGTTACTTCCTAACTGTAAGAGTGGTTGAGCAGTGGGACAGACTGCCTCGGGAGGTGGTGGGTGCTTCTTTGCTGGACGTTTTCAAGCGGAGGCTAGACTACCATTTCCGGGTACGTTGTAGGGCTCTCTTTCGGCTCTGCTCCTGCAGAGAGCAGGGGGTTGGACTAGATGACCTGCAAGGTCCCTTCCAACTCTAACATTCTATGATATGTCCCACTAAAAATTCCAATAGTGTCCATAAGATTTCAGCACTATGCAGAGGCAGAATCTTGGAGTGCCATTTGCCAGCATGGTGCCATGGCCTGGTCAATGGTAAATAAGGGAATAATGTGGTTGAGGGGGCCCACGTCCAGCATCACCCCTACCACCCCCTTAGCGCCCCTGGAAAAAGAACAAGAGAAGGAGGATTTATACCCCGCCCTTCACTTGGAGTCTCCGAGCAGCTTACAGTCTCCTTCCCGTCCTCTCCCCCTGCCAGTCACCCTGGGAGGTAGGTGGGGCTGAGAGAGCTCTGAGAGAACTTGTGACTGACCCGAGGTCACCCAGCTGGCTGCATGTGGAGGAGTGGGGAATCAAACCCGGTTCTCCAGATTAGAGCCCACCCCTCTTAACCTCTGCACCAAACCAGTCCCTCAAGGAAAAAAGAAACCACTTGTTTGCAAAAACTATTTTGCTGCCGCTGTCTGCCTTCGTGGACTCATACATAATTTGTGAGCTGTTATTGCTTCTTCCCTGAACAACAACAAAGCTTCTTTCCAAACTTTAGCATAGAAGTCATAGATTGGAGAGAAGAGAAGAGATTGGATTTATACCCCGCCCTTCACTACCCAAAGGAGTCTCAGAGTGGCTTACAATCTCCTTCCTACAACAGACACCTTGTGAGGTAGGTGGGGCTGAGAGAGCTCTGAGAGAACTGCTCTTTCCAGAACTGCTCTGAGAGAACTTGTGACTGACCCAAGGTCACATCAACAGCTGCATGTGAAGGAGTGGGGCATCAAACCCAGTTCTCCCAAATTAGAGTCCATGCTCCTAACCACTACACCAAACTGGTTCTCTCGCCCACTTTGGGACCCGCTGCTCTAGAAGGACTTTGCAAG